TCTCTCTCTCTCTCTCTCTCTCTCTCTCTCTCTCTCTCTCTCTCTCTCTCTCTCGCTCACTCGCTCGTGCGAGCTCTTAGTCTCATTGATTTGGCTACCTTAGGGCTGCGTTCCCCGCGCCCACGCGGTAGACAATAGGGGTGGCGCCCTTACTTTCCACGGAAAAACCGCTTACATTTTTTTTTTTTTTTTCGGTCAGGTGTTTCCTTCACATTCCTGGTCCAAACGCTGGGTTGTCCGGTACACCATGGGACGGCGGTTCCACGGTAGTCTCCAACGGGTAGCGTCGTGGCCCGGCTGTGGCCATGCGGTCCCTCCGGTTAGCCGTTTCGGCTTGCGTGTGGAGGCGACCGTTGCACGGGTCCCCGCGGAGGCGGGCACGCGAGTGTCATTGGCGGCTCGTCTTTCGAATGCGAACTGTGGGTGATATGCGCAGCCCGTCGATTTCGATGATGCAAAACCGCCCACCTCCTACCACCCCGTGCTGGTCGTCTTCTGTGAGCCACTATATTCGACTCCTCTACTTCCACGCTTTGTCGTCATCGAAAGTTTGCAGATCTGTGTGTCGTGTTTTGCTGCAGGAGCGCATGGCTGACATGGTGAGGAAGACAGCTCTGCTAATTATTCTGCTTGGGGCGGTGGTGTCGTTCATTGCTCTGCACGCGTGCCACCTGGCCGGTGCTCGCATCCGACGTGGAAGGAGGAAGGGGTTGAAGAGGCTTCAACAGGGCGCTTCGGCGAGCAAAGGGATGGGCGACGCACCAGCGCGAGTAGAAAGCACGGGAGGGGGTGTAGGTCCCATGTCCGCATTGCTGGGCGAAACGCGGGGTGGAGGCCGTCTTCCATTCGACTTGCAACTCTCACCGGCGACCACCATGGACGTGTCTAGAATGGTCCTCGTCCAGCGGAGTGGACATGGTGGCGGCACCAGCACGCAGACAATGCATGCCACCGACCTTGACGACGGGATGTCAATGCATCGGCCGAACCACGTGTCAAGGCCTGCGCCGAGCCATGCCGGACCTGCTGCCAGCGTGCCGTATCACCAACCTACGGCAGGCGCGGCCATGCAGGAACGGAGGCCTGATCTGGGCGGTGTTGCGGAATCCCCTCGATGTGTGGAGCGTATTGTTTGCCGCTTCAATAGCTTGCGGGCGACCAGCGATGGTGATGGAGCACGACCGGACAGTGGTGCCAGTGAGGCGGACCACGTCGACGTTGAAGACGACGATGGTGACGACGATGAGGAAGACAAAGCTTCGGTCAAGGAAGCAGCCTCCAGTGGGATGAAAAAGCAAGCTTCCAAAGGTCGTGGGAAAGTGAAGGGAAAGGATAAGGAAGGTGATAGAAACGGCGAGGGTGGCGGGTGCGGTGCGCGGGGGAACTGGAATTTGAACGAGTCCCTCGTTCTTGTCCGGTGCAAGAAAGACCAAGATGACTACTTTGCTAATGCGGAAACCAACTTCGCTAGAATGAAAACCAAGGACCAGAAGTAGATGGATATCACTAAGCGGATGGAGAAGGAAGGAGTTCGGCGGGATGGGGAGCAATGCATGAAGAGGTGGGAGAACATATTCGGATGGTACAGGAAAGTGTGGGACAGGGAGAAGGACTCGGGACTGCAATCGTACTTCCTCATGAGCACGAAAGCACGGAAGGAGAAAGGTTACACGTTCAATCTAGACCGCACTCTGTATGACGCGATCCACATCATGCAGGGGAACAACCAGGCCGATCACCCGCCGAATCTCGTGGACACAGACAACAGACAAGGACAACAACCACAACAAGGTGACCAAAGCCAAGCGCTTGTGGGTGGTGGGAAAGCAAACACTTCGGCGAGCGACAACAAGGAAGCGGATGCGGGTGACGGGTGTGGCAGCAGGTCGTCTTCTAACGACATTCATGGCAAGCGGAAGAACGCGAGGCAACTGGCTTTCGAGGCGGTGACGGATGTGATGAAAATGCACTCCACCGTAGTCGCAGAGTCCATGGACCGCGCGAGCAAGCGGCAGTGCGACGTGCTCCAAAGGCAGTGCGACATAATGGATAGGGAGGCGGGAACGCAGGAGAGGCAATGCGAAGTTCTGGACGTCGGGCAACGGATGCTGTGTGATGCTCTACTTAAGATCGCATCGACATTGGCCAGGGATTGATTGCGAGGTTGTGACAGCAGAGCACACCCCAAAACCCAGGCAAGTGTGCTTGGAGGGGCGGTTCGCGGGGTGTCATTTCATGGATAGATTTCGCCCCTCCAATGTTTTTTTTTTTTTTTTTCGTATCTTGCTTCTGTCGTTCTCGTTCGCGGTGCACACCGATGCCGACCATTGGCTTTTGAAGCCGACCGTCACCTTGTGCAGGGTCATTTCACAGGATTGCTTGTTTAACATTTTTTGTCGGTTTTTTTTTTTTTTTTTTTTTTTTGGTGGGCCGTTCGTTTACAATCAGCGTGGGTGATCGTACCCCGGGGTCTTGAGGTTCGATGACGTCCGAGAGGAGTAGGGATAAGCATGCCACCCAGGGGAGTCGCTTCGTAGCTCGCATCACCAAGGGAGGGGGTTGATAGGATCGGGCCCCTGCAGCGATAAGAGGCGGTTCATCTCACCAATCAACCGTCCGGTCGTGAAGACGTCCGGGAAACATGTGTCGCATATCGGAGGGTGCACGGCGATGCCAGGGAAACGTATTAAAGCGCAGCGCAATATGTTTCCAAGGCCGGCATGAAAGATTGCTCATGGGATATGACGTGGCGAAGGTGCGCGAAAGGCAGGCGGTGGGAGTGTCCAGATACTTGTTATTTGGCGGCGTGTGAGGGTCACTGGCATACGTGCGACGTGGCTGGAGGTCACGAAGGCGGTCCTCCAACGCGAGGATGGTGAATTACGCATTCGTGTTCAATTCGGAATGCAGTGCGAATAGTGGTTTCATAGGTGGCGGTCATCGCAGGGTCGTCCTCACGTATTTCAAGATTGGACATCGCAGTTGCGTTTTCGGGGCAAATACCCTGACAAGGGTATTTGCTGGGGTTTTTCAACGTCGGACGCTGTCTGAATTTCTCGTTGGATTGAAGGGCTTGATGAGATTCACATTGCCAAAAAGTTTATTCATACATGACCGTTGACTGAGGGACTAAAAGATTTCAGAACCCTAGTCCGTACACCTGTGGCGTCCGAGAGTAATGACTATACCCGGCAGTACTTCGCCTTTCGTGGGGGCTGTACGGGCGTGCGGGTGTTGACGTACTAAGGTTAGACCTATTCTACCTAAAATAGTGTCGCGCAGCTGTTAAGCCGCGCGATTCAGGGTCTACGATAGGCTAAAAAGAACGGTCCCGCCTTGGCGCGAAAAGAATACGAAGTTTTTCTGGGTTGCGGGGGTTGACCTCGAGCCAAAGGAGGCCAGCAGGCCAATGTCGAGGCCTACCCGCTGGGTGACCTCGGAGTTGTGGTGGACAACCATCCATGACAAGGCCATATGCGGGTAGGGCCTGCAAGGCCACGGGCAGGCAGGGCCTACCGGGCCACACGCGGGCAGGGCCTGCAAGGCCGCGGGCAGGCAGGGCCTGCAAAGCCACGACAGGGGGGAATAGAGAGGGGGCGAAGCTCTTTTTATAGAAGAGTTGCTCCTATCACTGTCGTGATAGCAGTTAGCCCAGTAGGTTCTCATACGTGACTCGTACTTTGCGGATATTGCGATCGAACCCGAAATGTTGCATCCTACTGGGCATATCTCCTTTTGGAGTTGCCCATTCCGGACGTTGTCAGCGCGATCGATCCGGACCGTTCGATCGCAAGGATCGCGCGGTTCGGATCGGCCGCGCGAATGTTAGCATGGCCTCTGCGCAAGGATGACACGCATAAATCAAGGAGAGATTCAAGTTTTTTTCTCTTTCCTTTTTTTTTTTTTTTTTCGTTTTTTTCTCTTTTTTTATTATTATTGGACGTGGGCTGAGGCCCTACTAGCAGAAAAGATAGGAACGAACTCCTGAATCGGGATGTGTTTTATGCAGAGATGCAGGAAAACAGTTCAAACTCAACTTCCTGCACCTCTTCATAACCTCGTCCAGATTCAGGCATTCCACTCGATCCTGTTTGCTAGTAGACCCACGCCCTTGGGGGTTGCTGTACGTGGCTGAGAAGCCACGAGTCGTGACTTGCAAGCCAACAGGGAAAAGAATGAAAAAAAAAAAAAAAAAAAAACCTAAACTAAACTGAAGTTGAACGTGGAGCGCCACTTGGCGCCATAGGAAGTGACTGGGGCATTTCCGCCCCAGTGCACTTGACAGTCGCCTGTGAAAACGGGCGACTGTTTCTATGCAGTAAGGTAAGTAGTCTTTTTTTCTTTTCTTTTCTTTTTAGATTTCCTTTACGTGTTTTCTGTTGAATTTTCTTTAGATTCTTTAGTTATATTTCTTTTTACATTTCTTTTATTCTTTTCTTTTCTTTCTAGATCTTTTCGTTTCGGTTTTTCTCTTTTAATCGTGGGTTTCCAAAAGCGTCCGCTCGTTTTGACGAACGGGCTGACTTGCCATCGACTGGATGTGCAAGTCGATGAATCCGTGTTGGAACATGGAAAGATACACTATGCAGAGAGAGAGAGAGAGAGAGAGAGAGAGAGA